GTCGCCCCTCCCATGACTTATCATATTATAATGTGAATTAGATTTATGGCCCTTACAAAAGTATTTGGTCTTTATGGTATTTTTGCATTTCTTTCCACAATTTTTGGCCCTACAAATGTTCATATGTCTCCTTCGTCTGAATCGTACAAATATCACTTTCCTTTTTTTGAAATTTAATGATAGGTATCGATTGATCTTGCTAACTTCACGTAATATCAAAGACTATATCATTTAAAGATACATATTTTGAAGCTTGATATGTGATAAAGTGGGGTAGGTCAATCTTGGAGGCGTCATTAGGATGGATTTTAAAAATTATTAGGTTGAAAAGATCGTGGTTAATGTTAATAGTGTCGTATATTATATTATTCTTAATGACAGATCTTGTAGAGCTTAGGTATAATTAGATCGGGACATTTGACGGAATATTATTTCTTTCCAAGAAAGCTGTTAACTCTCCTTGAATAAAGCATATATTACTATTTTTCTTTTTTCATATAAAATATAAAGTACACGTTACTTCTCTGTTGTCTCTATGCTTTGCTCATGTTGGTAACTTTATTTTATTAGTCAATTTAGTTCATCAAATATTTTTGTACCAAATATTATTCGGGTATTATTTTTATTAATGAGCACAAACAAATACATGCATCTTTAAAAAAAATTGGGCCAACAAAAAAAGATATATTACATATTATAATTGGGGCAACATGTCAAGACTCTTGAATCCAGCCCAATGAGCCAATCAAATGACTCATTATTGAGTGGGCTTATTGGGCTGGCCCAAACATAAAATTTTATGAACCTCTCTCATTTTCATTGGCCTATTACCTTTTTTAGTTCATTTGGGGGCGAGGGTTCAATATCCGACCTTTAGATCAAATATATATGTTTTAATCAGTAGAGTTCGAAGAGATGTACCGTGGATTTGAAAGTGTTGATTTAAGAACGATGATAAGATATTTTGAAGGGCAAGTAATAATAAAAATCACCAAGCGTGTTCCCAATATGGTGAATATTTATCTAGTTGAGGCAATTTGGTAAAAGAAGGGGTTTGGCTAGCAGTAGAATTGGAGATACGCCCAATTATGCTTGAAAATGGAGTTAAATATATATGCTAATCACTAAAGAAACAAGAAGACAATTAGAGTGAGATAAAGTTATATAAATATTTTAAAAACAATATTGGAAAAGACATATGCACCAGACATTTAGAATATGAGCATTTCATTTCCCCTCTTTTTTTGTTTCAAATAAGGAGAATGGCAAGAAGAATATTACAGGGAGGATAATTAAAATGTTCAGGAGGTAAATTATGTTCTATGTCAAAATTAATACTACTTTTAAATAATTAAGACTTCCTTTTAGGTTTCATAAAAATTCAAGATTTCAGGCGATAAGCCTCTATATTTCCATATTTATTTTGTATGAATGTAAAATATCTAGGTATCTTAAAATGCTCATACGACGTGAGTATCACACTAAACTTACATTTAGTAGTGTTTCATCCTTAATTTCTTACGACATAATCTCTATATATACACTTCATTTCTCTCGAGTTACTATTTACACACTTCTTCACACTAACTTCTTTTTTTATCACTGATATACTTTTCATAGAGTTTCGTCTCACTATCTCTCTTCATTTCACATAATTTCTCATTACACAACAATTTCTCTCTAGCAATTTCTCTCTGCACTCTTGATCTCACTAGCTTCTCTCATCAAATATATCATCTATTACCAATTCAACATAAATGTTTTTTTAATTTTCCATATCGTTCAAATATGAATTCGTTTTATTTAAAAAAGAAACTTAATTATTCGATTGTAAAAGGTATCCTTGAACCATTTAAGATGGTTATAGACGTGTATCAATTGAGTATTACTTTTCAAACACTTAAAACGCACCTCAATATTTATTCCAGAGAAATACTTTTAAGTGCTAACTGAACACTTATCCCTATATTTACCGCCATTGAAAAATTAACCAATCATTATTTGGAAAAAAATTATAGGTTTTTTCTGATTTTTTTATTTGTAAAATATTTATCTTTGTAGGTAAGTATTTTAATTCATATAAACAAAATAGTGAATAAAACTGCAGAAAATTAGAATGAACAGAAAAAGCGTCAATAACATCAAGAAGGTGGTTGGCTGACTGAAAAACAAAACAAGACAGTGATAAATAATTTTTTTTAAGAAAGAAATAAGAGAGAGAGAGAGAGAATAAAATAAAAGAAAAATAAAAATAAAAGAAAGGAGACTGCTTCCACGCGTTAAGCCCCTTTTTGGTCCTTTCAAGTATCTCTCAAATATTATTCCAAAGGTTTCCTATTCGTTGTTCTCTTATTTTATTCGAGATAATTTTTTCTTTTATGAAATTATTTATTTTAGAATCTAAACTTTAAAAATTAATTGTAATTTTTTCAGCTCAGTCAATGTCTTAATCTTATATGTATTTTATATATTGATGTTTTTATTGTCATTTTCTCTCGATTTTCACCCCAATCACCTACCTTAATATGATTATAACGTAATAAAATTTCTAAATAATTTCACGATGCTCTATTGTTGTTATTAATTTTATTAGATCAATCAAATTTTAGTTGAAATAAATATTTCAATGTATGCGTTCAATTTGTAGAAGGCTAGTATATATCAATTAAATTTATTTGATAAGCTAACCCTAAAATAAAATATTTAACTGATTGGATATCTTCCCGTAGAGTTCTAATTTTATCGTGAGAGAAAACTATTTTATAGATTTTAATTCTTGTTATGAGAAAAAATGTGCATCTAATTCAAGGCATGGCTGTTATGTAATTATTAAAGTCATACGTCTAAAAGGTTAAAAAAAAATCCCTGATTTAGACTCGTCTTAATTATTAGTGATTTTACCTATTTTTATTTTTTTTTTCTTTTTGCTTTTGTAAGTTGACTTTTCAAAAAATTAATATTTTAACTAATCCGGAAAAAGACAATTAACAAAGGGAGATCACTTCAAACGTTTCATCAGTGCCAGTGCCATCACGTCATTAGCAAAGCATAGAAGTTTATTTCGGCAAGCCCTCTAATTTTGAAAATAATCTTGAAAAATAAGAGGTCTTTTTCTTAGTGTTTTATTAAATAATATTTCATATAGATATTTTAATTCACATTTTTGTTTAAAACATATTATCGGCTTACCTTTTAAAAGATAATTTTACCATTTCTTTATTCGAAAAATAATATTTTTATCAAATTAAAGTTCACTGTTTGGGGGAGAGGAATACCCTGGACACGTGGAGGACCCCCATTGATGCTCCAAGATGGCTCATGAGTCATGCCCAGCTCGGATAGCCGAGAT